TGAGTTAGGATGAAAATAATGCAGCTTTCAGGCTTCAAAAAGACTAAATTTAAACTGCCAAGAGTCATGATGTTGTCTGCACAAGACAACATTTTCCATCACTTATAGAAAGTTACATTTGGCATGTCAAGAAAAAAACGTAATCCCACAGCAGCAGCCATTTAAAATAAAAGAAGACAGCCACTAGGATTCATGCAGAGTATTTTAAATATTTCTGTTGAACAAAATGATTTAACTGATTTTTCTTCAATGACGATGCTCCCAAAAAACCTATATGCATCCTTTGGAAATTTAAAGATCCTGGAACAGCGTCTTCCATGTGGGACATCTTGAAAGATGGTATTTTGGTTTCAGTGAGTTACATGAGTGAATCGCCAGTCCTTGTTAATTTACAGGGTCTGTTTACAGAATGTGGTAATTTTGTTCTTTAGATTTGCAGAATTTATACAGAAAGAAAATTACAGCTTGCACACCCAAGACAAGGACAATTCCACCAATGAAACTGGCTGCATCAAAAGTAGACTTTTGCATAGGTTGTGAGGTTGGAGTCAAAGTGGTATTTGTTGTACCCGATGTAGGAACTGTGGTGGAAGTTGTAGAGGAGGAAGGCAAAGTTGTGTTTCCAGCTGTAGAATTGGTTGGCACTGGAGTGGCAGTGGGCACAGAACAGAAGTCTGTTGTGTTCACCACACGACAATCACTAACTGTTGAATTATGAGAACAGTAGCTCTCATCTTTACATTCTATCCAAAAGCAGGCAGTATTAACAGTGCTAGCATTAAAACAGGAAACAGCTGTTGCGGCCTTCACAGGTTTCTGGTACTGGAGTGGTGACTGGCGGGATGGATGTCACCAGCGTCGTGTTTATCTTGGTGGTGGGCTCTGGAGTCGTTCCGCCTGGGGCGAGGGTCGTGTTCTGACCCGCGGATAGCATGCAGAGCGCGGCCAGGCAGGTGGCGGCCCAAAGCGGCGGGCAGGAGAGCGCCGACATCGTGTCCTCAGCGCTGGTGTCCGGCCGAAAGCTGCGGCGCACAACGCTCAGTGCCTCCGTCCCCTGCCCAAAATAGCGTTTTTTGAATACCATTTATATACCAGTCAGACTAAATATGTTTTTACATGGTGGTTTAATTCCTTACACAATCCCAGGAGATAGGTCATGGTTTTGTATCCCCATTGTTGCTTAGAAGAAAACCAAGACTGAGAGAGGTTTAAAAAATTGCCCTGGTAGGTGTGTCTAATAAGCAGAAAAGTAGAGTCTGAATGTATGTATTCAACAGACATTATATTGAGGGCCCACTGTGTGCGGAAACCTGTTCTCAGTATCAAGAGTACAAAAACTTAAGACCTAGTTTTTGTCCTCAAGGAACTCAGTCTTATAAAGACAGACAGTAGGATAATGACTCCTATAACAAAGATATCTAAAAAGTGATTTGGGGAACAGTGGAGGGAACATCTGACTTCACTTTAAAGGATTGGGGAAGGCTTCAAAGAAGGATTGGATCTTTGATGTTTGATTAGATAACATTAAAAATTCCTTTGATAAACACAAAAATCTCATTTTACTTTCATGCTTAATAAAATTTTAAAATAAATTAATTACCGTTTCTAAAAGCAAATCAAAGCAATGATAACTTTGGAATGTTTTTCCAAACTACATTTGCTCTCTATTCCAATATTCTAATGTGCTCTTGAAGGAGAGGCTTGTCCTAGCACTTCATAATTTTAAAAGCTACATTTATGCCATGGTTTAGATGTATCATAATCTATCCAACTAGTCCCCATCTTTTTGATATTTAAGCTTAAATAAATGAAATAAACAGTACTATAATGCACATTCTTTTACATTCACCTTTGTGTTTTTGTGTTATACCTTTAGTATATCTCCTAGACACAGAATGGTTAGACCAGATATTTCTATTTTGGATGTATATTTCTTCTGTCTTTGTTCTCACCCCCCCACCACCTTTTTTTTAAAAAGCTCTTTATGTGTTGTGTTTTCATAATATGTGTTATGTTATAGGGATTTTTTTTTGTTTTTTTTTTTTTGAGACAGGGTCTCACTGTCGCTCCGGATAGAGTGCAACGGCATCATTGTAGCTCACTGCAGCCTCAAACTACTGTGCTCAAGCAATCCTCCTGCCTAGGCCTCCTGAGTAGCTAGGACTACAGGTGTGGGCCATGACGCCCAGCTAATTTTTCTATTTTTTGATAGAGTCAGGGTCTCACTCTTGCTCAGTCTGGTCTCGAACTCCTGAGCTCAAGCAATCCTCCTGCCTCAGCCTCCCAGAGTGCTAGGATTACAGGCGTGAGCCACTGTGCCTGGCCAATGGACTATTTATTATTAGCTTACTGGCTCCATAATGATTCCAGAGTTCACCAAGGTGTCCTAGTCATGTTGGGACTTTTTAGACTAAAACGAAATTCTGGGAACTGAGTGAGAATTGAACTAATGGGTAGAAAGTATATAGGCCATGTAGCAAATTAGCTATCATGTTCAAGTGCTTTATGCATTAATGAACAAAAATCTCTCATATCTCTTAGTGGTTTTGTTGGTCTCGAAAGCGATCTGTTTCTATTTCAGTTCCTTACTATATTCAGCTAACTTTATGACGTTTTGTCAAGAAGTACATACATTCAAAAACAGAATATAGGGCCGGGCGCGGTGGCTCACGCCTGTAATCCTAGCACTCTGGGAGGCCGAGGTGGGCGGATTGTTTGAGCTCAAGAGTTCGAAACCAGCCTGAGCAAGAGCGAGACCCAGTCTCTACTAAAAAATAGAAAGAAATTAATCAGACAACTAAAAATATATAGAAAAAACTAGCCGGGCATGGTGGCGCATGCCTGTAGTCCCAGCTACTTGGGAGGCTGAGACAGGTGGATTGCTTGAGCCCAGGAGTGTGAGGTTGCTGTGAGCTAGGCTGATGCCACGGCACTCTAGCCCAGGCAAGATAGAGAGACTCTGTCTCGAAAAAAACAAAGCAAAACAGAATATAATAAGATTGGAAACTTGTTAATTGGTCAAGATGATAGGAAATTTTTTTCTATATAGCAGTTGTATATTTTGACATTCAGATGTAAGATTTTTACTCATTTAAATTAGATTTTTTCTACTTTTAGCATCTGGCAGTGAAGAAGAGAGTGGCTAGCTTCTTGGCTGAGAGAAACTCCTTTAAGAAAATAAGAAGTCTAGCAATGCATTTATTTTAGTTCTTAAGTAAAGATGAACATGAGTGAATTTCTTGCTTTTTTCCTGGAATTTATAGTATATCTGGAATTTTTGGTATTTCTATAAATTTGTTTCTAACAGTGAGTACAATGTGGTAAAGTGAATGTTGACATACTTTATAGCAATGTGAGTATGGATCACAATGCATTATTTTTTCATGTAATTTATTCCTAGTGAGATTAGGTGTGTTAGTCTGTAGCATATCAGTTAATGATCTTGCTTGCAAGACTTATATTTTCTTCTAGGATTTGTCACAATTTTTATATTTTTCTGGAAAACAAATCCAGTAAATATAGTTGTTTCAACCTTTCTTTCATTTGAGTCACGGTTCTTAATAGGGGATATTAATCTTACCTCCACAGAAACTTATCTGATATGAAATAAATTTAGCTGCTTGAATTGTACTTGTCAAGTTTCTTCTTTAAAAATGTGGTATAGATACACAGTGAAATACTATTCAGCTAGATATAAAAAAGAATGAAATCATGTCTTTTGCAGTAACATGGATAGAACTGGAGGCCATTATCTTAAGTGAAACAACTCAGACACTGAAAGACAAATACCGCATGTTCTTACTTGTAAGTGAGAGCTAAATAATGTGGACACATGGAAGCAGAGTGTAGAGTGATGGACAATAGAAACTTGGAGGGATGGGGATGGGTGAGAGATAGGTAGATTATGGGAGGTTGCTTGGTAGGTACAATGTGCTTTGCTTCAGAGATGTATGTACTGAAGGCCCTGACTTCACCACAGTATATTATATCAGTGCAGCAAAATTGCACCTGTACCCCATGAATAGATGGAAAAAAAGGAAACATTTTTGAAAAATTTCTTTAATATTTGATTTACAAATGATTAAAAATGTAAAACTGAGTTCTAAGAGCCACAATAGAGAGACAACACTGATATTTAAAAAAAATTACAGGCCCAACATCATGGCTCATGCTTATAATCCTAGCACTTTGGGAGGCCAAGGCATGCCGATCACTTGAGGCTAGGAGTTTGAGACCAGCCTGAGCAAGAGTGAGACCCTACCTTTACAAAAAATAAAAAAATTAGCTGGCTGTGGTGGCGTGTGCCTATGGTCCCACCTAGTCAGGAGGCTGAGGCAGGAAGAGCGCTTGAACTCAGGAGTTTGAGGTTGCAGTGAGCTATGATGATGCCAGTGCACTCTAGCCTGGGCGACAGAGTGAGACCCTGTCTCAAAAAAAAAAAAAAAAGAAATTACAGTAACTTTTTTCTGTGTAAATACTTTATTCTAAACTTCTACCAAATTTGCTTTCTGCTATAATACGATCATTAAAAGTTTTAATTGATTTCTAACCTTTTTCTAAATTTAAAAAGTATTTCCTCACAAGGAAGTTATATCTTACAAGAAAGAGATTTTTAGTTTTTTTTTTTAGTGACAGAGTCTCACTGTCTTGCCTAGGCTGGAGTACAGTGGCATGATCATAGCTCACTGCAGCCTCCAGCTCCTAGGATCAAGTGATCCACCTGCCTCAGCCTCTCAAGTAACTGGGACTATAGGTGCTAGCCACCATGCTTGGCTCATTTTTACATTTTTTGAAGAGACGGTGTCTGGCTATGTTGCCCAAGATGGTCTTGAACTCCTGGATTACAGAAGTCATCTGTCATGCCTGGCCTCAGAATTTTACCTTTACAAAGGTAATTTGTTTTAGTGATAAGGTTTCTTCAGAATTCTTAACAAAACCCCTGATAGAGTATCTTTTATTATCTTTCCTTTGCTTTCTTCCAGTCTCTGTGATTAGAATTCAGCTGAACACATATCAAATTCTTAGCAAAATTTTGTGGGTTGCTAGATATTGAGGGCCTTTAAAATCTTTAGACTTCACGATATAGAACAAATTTTGAATTGGAATTTTCTTTATTTCTGTTGCTTTTGTTTTTCTGTTAGAACTTCCTGGGAGTATTCAGTTAAGACTAAGAGATTTTCTTCTAGAGATCAGATAGCCTAAGGGAGAGTTATTCAGTCTTTTTTCTTTGTGGTATGTGCTTACCAGGCAGAGCAGCCACTGTATTTCAGTAAGAGAACCCATTGCCAAAACACCCACTAGAGCAGAAAACTGACCTAGTTAATGCTGACAGTTTAAAAAAAATCTGTGGTATTATAGCAGCATTGGATCAACTTTTTCCTTCTCTGGTGGTGGCTGGATAGGGGTAGAGAAAATAATGAGAAAGGGATATTTAACTGTTGCAAGGGAGTAAACAAAGCAGTAAATGAATATTTAATTGCAGTCTATTTGATTAAAAACCGTATATTTGGTACAATTCAAAGGCCTCTAAAATACAGCAGTAGTTCTTCTTCTTTTTTTTTTAAAGAGCCCAAGCTGGAGCGCAGTGGTTTTTCATAGATGCAATCGTAGCATACGATAGTCCCAAACTCCTAGGCTCAGGTGATCCTCCTGCCTCAGCCTCCCAAGTAGCTGGGACCACAGGTGTGTGCCACTGTGCCCAGCTTACAGCAATTCTTCTTAAATCACTTTAAGCTTAAAAGAAGAAAGCATAGGAGATTTCTAAGATTTTCATGGTAGTAATCTAGAAAAGCCCACTAGTTAAGGATGTCAACGAGGATTTTATCAGTATACAATATTTTAGAATTTATAGATATTGAAACAAAAGCTAGTTAGAATACTTATTCGTAGCAAGTGACTATGGGCCTTAACTTTATCAAACTCATTTTTTCCATTGTTATCCAACTTATTAATATTTTTCACTTTCAATGTCATTAGCATCTAAATTTTTAGAGCTTTGTCATTCAGTACAGAAGCCACGGGCCACATGTGGCTACTCAGATTTAAATTAATT